ACCCCGGCTTTTTTTGGGGGGGGAGGGAGGGTGTCAACAACTTTTCCCCTGGAGTACCGGCACCTATTTTTTTGAACAAAAAAAGCAGTGGAATGAACTATTAGCTCCTCATATCACCGGCATATTGGAAACTGTGAAACGCTATCCAGTTACCCCTGTACTGGCCCAGCCTTTGGGCAAGGTGAGCGAGGCAGTTGCCTTGGGCCCTGCACATGCAGAGTCCTCGCGCATTCAGGGCCCCGTGCTGACCAGCTCCCGGCCCTGCCCACCAAGACGCTCACTGGCTGCCCTGACTAGGAGCTGCGCAGCCGTGCAGCTCAGCCAAACACAGCCTGCTGCCTTGGGCCCCGTGAACTCTTTGGCTGGGCCTGCCGTTGTATTGATTGCAACTTCCGCTGGGCCCCTCATCTTCTCCTTTCCTGGTTCCTGGGGCTCCCATGCAGTGATCCATCCCTGCTCAAGGAAACTCGGAAGCACGGGCCTAATTTTAGGCAAGTGTGAAAGTCCCATTGATTTCCGATTCCCACTCCGATGTAGAAGTCATGTGATGGCATAAGGGGGACTAAGTAGTCAGAGCTAGATTTCATGTGGGAGCAAGTGGGGGGGGGGGCCTTCCACAGAACAAACAACTAGCAAGAGAGAGTCCCTGCTCCAAAGTCCCTTCAGGATCTGAAACAAAATACAGGACGATGTAGCACTTTAAAGACTAACAAGATGGTTTATTAGGTGATGAGCTTTCGTGGGCCAGACCCACTTCCTCAGATCAAATAGTGGAAGCAAATTGTCACAACCGTATATACCAAAGGATGCAATTAAAAAAAATGAACACATATGAAAAGGACAAATCACATTTCAGAACAGAAGAGGAATGGGGCAGGGGAGGGGAGGAGGTAAATGTCTAACCATCTTGTTAGTCTTTAAAGTGCTACATAGTCCTGTATTTTGTTTCAGCTACACCAGACTAACACGGCTACATTTCTATCACTATTCTTCAGGATCTGGGCTTTCCATTCTGAACATAAAAGAGGCAAAGGATGGAAGGGGAAACCTCTCTTCATTTACTCCAAAATATCCAAGGCTTTTATGGCCTTAACATCAGAAGGATCCGTGGGCCTATTTATATTTACAATCAGAATGGCAGCAAACCTCTTGATGTTAAATCAGATCAGAATTTATCCAGGCCTTTGGAAGAAATGTAGACGCATTTCTCCCTCAGACGGTTCCTCATCCTACTATAGTCACCATAGGTAGCATCCAGTACAACCCATGCTCCAGGCATAGGGATGAAATATTAAGGCAAGAAATGGCTTTTCCCTGGTGTGGTCCACTGCAGAATGAACTGGAAGGGCAATTAGCCACCAAAGTGCTCATTTAATGTCAGTGATGTGTAAACTCTATTGCCATTGTTAGTTTAGTGCTGATTTACACAACTGGAGTGCCCTGACGTCACACTGCTTGCACCTTAAATTCAGGCTAACGAGCTCCAGGAAGTCATAAAATTGAACCTGATCTGGGAGTTCCTAAGCTATCACCCTTTCTAAGGCTTGAATTTCAGCTTGGGCTATCACTCCTCTCCATAGGTGCAGGGTTTTGCACCTGGCTTCTCCATGCCCAGGGGCCGGCCCTGCTTCCCACCCACTGCCGGTTCTGCCACCCCCAGGGTCCCTCCCACCTAGCATCCCCGTGGGTTCTGCAGCTTGCCATTTCTGTGGTCCAGGCCACTGGCCCCAGAAAATCTGCTGCTGCTCAGCATCCCACTCCCAACCCAGGGCTCCGCAGCCACCTTTAGCTGTGGCTAGGTTGCCAACTCTCCTGGACCGGATACACTGGACACCATTTGTGGTAATAGCACCCAGGCTGTCCGTGAGAGTTGGCAATCCTCGGTGTGACCTCAGGCTGGAAAAGTGAGAGGTGTGAACAGGTGTGTGTGTGAGGGGGTGCAGCTTAGCACCCCCACCTTAAAAATAGGTCCAGCACCACAGCTCCTCCCCACACCCACATCTCAGATTTGGCTTAAAGCCTTTCCAAAGCAACAAAACTAAAACAAAATAGGTCATTCTTTTGCCAGGGTAAGGGTGTCTCCGTGGGGAATTGCACCAGTGCGACGTCATTGAAATGATCACCTTAGATTATAGAGATGCAACTTTTCTACTAAACTGCAAAAAGAGCCAATCAAAATGGTGGAAATGACCAGGGAACTGTCTCCTGTTGCTTTAAATTCTGCACATGTTGCTTTACTCTGTCAGTACCATCAGCCCTTTGAAAAGGCCTTGCACCCCAGTGTGGTGCTCTGAGGAAGGAAAGTGACCAGGGATTCCAGGCCGTTCAAGTGAGAATCTGTGCTAGGATCCGGACAATTGATTCTTTGTGTCATCGTTTCTATTGCATTAGTGTCTACAGGCATCAACTCTGACCAGGGCCCTATGGTGCAAGGCACTGTATATATATAAAAAAAGGGACTGCAAGAAGGACAAAGAATGAGGGAAAGAAAGTTTTAATATCCCTATTCCACAGGGACCCGTGATGCAGAGGGATTAAGGCCCAGAAGATAAGAGCCTAAATTCTAGCCCACTGTCACACGAGGAGTTTGGGGCAGATACGGAAACTGAAGCCAGTGAGTTAACCATCTTCTTTCTGTTCATCCGAGACACATCACCCTTCCTGAATCCATCCACCTTGGCATCAGAGCCTGCTCCTTCATCCCTCTCATGCTCTAAACTCATCTCCGAAGAAAAGCTTCGGCAACCTGGAGGAGCTGAGGCTGCCAACTGCCACATCGAAGGCTTTGACACTGTCACACTCCAACACCTGCGATAGCATGGACTGGTGCCGGTCGCGAAGATGGGCAGGTAAGCTGCTAAGCCTACAGACTGGCGCCCTGCTTCTGCTGAGTGGGACACAGAAGAGAATTCAATGGTAAAGCCAGCCCCAAAAAGGGGTTTCAAATGGGGATTTGCACATCCAGAGAGCTCTGACACATTTCCACCACTGGAGGGCAGCCATATCTTAAAAACATCCAGGGACTCAGCAAAGCAGCGCTGAACTCCCAAGGAGGAGGGGGCTGAACCTAGAAAGTCAAATGCATTTAAAATGATGCTTCCCCAAGGATAAAAGGCATTTTCTCAGGAATCTGACACGTTTCTTTCAATTGGGGCAGCCCATGATGATTTCCAGCTCCCCATGCTACTTTTGGGCTGTGACATGGAAGGTGTGAGTGGCAAATGTTTTAGCAGGGAGCTTCACATCCCTTCTGCCACTGCTTATCAAACTGGATGCTGGAGTTTAACAAAGAGGGGGTTATGTCACCCTGCGTCCCAAATCTCTGCTCATGCCTAAAGACGCAGTGTCATAAAAGCGGCCTTTCACACAGTGTCCTTTGAAGGAATAAAATAGTCAAGGTGCTTTTGGGAGAAAGAACAGATTTCTGGGGATGCTCCCCCCGCAAGAAAGCCACAATGAACTTGATAGAACCCATATATGAGCTTAAAAGAACCCATATATTCTTGATTGTGAAGTCATGCCTCTGAGATCTTTTGAATATGAAAGGTTGTGTGGCTGAGAGATACCACAAGCAAGAGATATTAAGCTCCTTCATTTCTGGGGTGCAGATGGGTACTCAACCTAGTTTTTCTTGGTAGCGTGATAACAGCATTTAGTTTTCCTCTCCAAGAACTAAACACACCCACTGGAATCTAAACAGGTTTTTGTTTGTTTGTTTGTTTGTTTGTTTGTTTTTAAAAGAGAGAAATGAGTTTTTTGTGATCTGTGCAAAGTTCAAACAATAGTTGAGGTTTGCTCTAGATTTGCCCAGGGCTATTATATTGTGTTGACCGTCCTAACGTTAGACAGAGTACACTTAGACACTGCAGGTTTAGATTAACCATTCTGTTGCTTTGTATAAGTCTTTGATCCATATCAGCTGCAATAGGCCTAAAACTATTTACACCCAGGACCTGGGTGTAAAGTTGATGTCATTAATTGCAAATGCTTTGTGTGCCTCTGCTGAAAATCAGGTGTGTGGGGATTTTTAAAACTTTTTTTCTACTGGCCTAGATTATTTGAAAACACTCCAATTCTTCCAAAACCTGCTTTGACCTTCACACCTTAGAAGTCAGCAAACACTGAAATCCCACAGCACGAAACTAATCCGATTTGTATAAGCAGCGCACGAGACTTATTTCACTCTTCTTTTACTGAGGGGTCATTGTTCAGTATCCATCTCTGACTTTCCTTTGCGTTTCCACGTGTAGGCGCAGACTCCAGCTAAAAAGTTCCTAAGTCCACAGTTTTAGCCCATGCCTGGTTTGATCCCAGGTCTCGTATTGTCTAAGGACGGCGAGACGACAAAAGTCCCAACAGGGCTCTAGCTCTTACGCCTCGGAAGAACCACAACAATCCTCGGGACTAGATTTTCTTATTACACGTGAAGCTAACACTAACAGCTACCGGCTGCCAGCCTGCTCCAACTGCTCCTGGAGCTTCCCCTCGTTGGCTCCTGATTTGCAAAAACCACGCTGCACATTGCATGTCGCCCATGGGCCTGACTAGCTCCCGTCCAACCTGGCACGGCCCCAGGAGAGGCGATAGGAGACCACGACAGGGGGACATGTCGATGGGAGGAGAAGCAGGTGGAGGGGGAAACCATGGATCATTCTTTTCCAGTGTGGGAACTGGGGACACCCCCCCTGGCCAAATTCACTACCCGGCTCCTGGATCGTCGCAGGTGATGGGAGTTGCCTGGGACACAGTCAACCTTCTGCCTCGGAGGGAAGGCACGTGGAGGGAGATGCTAGTGGGGCTGCTGTCCCTGCTTCCTCCCAGAGGTTCGGCCATCAAGCGAGGCGAGGGGGGAAGCAGGAGCCGCGCACACACTCCTCCGCGGCGGCGGCGTCGCCTTTAAAAGCAGCGAGCGCGGCTCGCGGCCGCTCTCCCGGCGGCGCGCTCGCTGATTGGCCAGGCGCCTCCAGCCCCCGGGGCCGTGACATCAGCAGCGCCACAAAAAGCCAAGGAGGCTTCCAAGGACCTCGAGCAAGTGGCACCAGAAGCGCGCGGGCCGGGCACCCCGCGGGAGGACGCAGCGGCCGGAGAAGGCAGCTCCCCCCCCCCTCCTCCTCCCCCGTTGCAAAGCGCCTGCTGCTGCCGGGGCCGCAGGGAAGGAAGAGCCCGGGCGCTGCGGGACTAGCCTGGCTGCGGATGCTCGGGGCGTGGTTTTTCCACGGAGCGGCATAGAGCGCGCGCCCCCGCGCGGCGTGGCGAGGCCTCTCCCCCCAGGGATGTCTCCGTGGCGGGCGGCCGCCGCCGTCCGGGGAGCCGCGGCGGAGTGACAGCCCGGGAGGGATGCCGCAGCCAGGCGCCGCCCAGCGAGCCCCCCCTGCAAGGCACCGAGCCCCGGCGGGTCGCGGCCGGCGGGGTCCGCGCGGCATGAGTCCCCGGAGAAGCCATGGGCTGCGGCGGCGGGGCTAGAGCGCAGCCCGGGATCCGCGCAGCCGAGGGACTTGCCCTCTCGCTACTGAGCCTCGCCCGGAGAAGTAACTTCCCGAGCCCCGCACGCACCGGATACAAGCCCCCGCCCGGCTGGGCACCCCCTGGCTCTGCCCACTTCTATGTGGAGCCCGCGTCCATGGCCGGCCCCCAGCGCGCTGCTTAGGCGCTCGGCGGGCTCCTAAAGGTAAGAGCGCAGGGCGGCCGGGCGCACCTGTCCCGCGCCTCCCCTCCCCACGCGCCGTTCACACGGGCGGCTTCCTCCACTCCGCTTCGAACGCCGCGCGCATGGAACCTGTTCTGCGTGTGAACGCGCCACGGGATCCGCCCGGGGAGCGCGGGGAACCTCTTTCTAGAGGAGCGGTGCTGGCCGTCCTGGGAGCCCCCACCGCCTTTGTCTTGCACCCCCTCAACCACCCTAGGTGCTGGAAGTAGGGGTGCAGAGGGGTACTGCGGCACCCTGGCTTGGAGTGGCTGCCATTCTAGACGGGGTGTCCAGGTGGGTTCAACCGCCCCCAGCAAAAACTGCCCCAGCACCTCTGCCAGACACCCCCCTGAAGCCAGCGAACACCTGGACAGCTGGGCATGGCACTCGGCTCCTACCTGGCCATGGAGCTGGCCAGCCCGGCTCCTGGCCGCTGACAAGCGGCCGTATCTCTGGCCACGCTATGGTCCGCTGCGGGCTAGGCTCTTCTGTGCAAGGGGGCTTTGGATCAGGCGTGCAATCCGGAGTCACTACGGGGGGAAGCGGCTCCCGGTGCAACAGAGCACGGGGTACAGCGGCTCGCTCCCAGATGAGGTCCCACGCCCCCTAGCCTCCCTCGGGGGGGTGGGGGGGGAGCCGGATCGGGCCCCCCCCGCTCGGGATCGGGCCCCCGGGACGGGCTTGCCCTGATTTCCCACCCTCCCTGTCTGCGCAGGTTGACCATGGTGGCCGCCACCCGCTCCTTGCTGGCGCTGCTGCTCTACCAGGTGCTGCTGGGCGGCTCGGCCGGCCTCATCCCGGAGGTGGGCCGGCGGCGCTTCAGCGACTCGGGCCGCGCCGCCCCGCCGCCCTCGGAGGACCTGCTGAGCGAGTTCGAGCTGCGCCTGCTCAACATGTTCGGGCTGAAGCGGCGGCCGAGCCCCAGCAAGAGCGCCGTCATCCCGCCCTACATGCTGGACCTCTACCGCCTGCACGCGGGCCAGGCCGCCCTGGGCTCCCCGCTGGAGAGAGCCGCCAGCCGCGCCAACACGGTCCGCAGCTTCCACCACGAAGGTACGGCCGGGGGGGGGGCTGGCTCTGCGCTGCCCCCTGCAGGCTGCGCCCGCGGCTCTTGGGGAGCTCTCCCGGCGGGGTCCGCTTCCCCAGGAGGGGTCGGAGGATAGGTGGGCACGGGGGGAGTGTGTGAGAGCTGGCGTCGCTTCCTAGGGAGCCTAAGCGTGGGATCCGTTGTTGTGGAGTAGTGGGTGTATGAACTAGTGTGGGGGCGAGCAGGGTGCGGGTGTGTACCATCAGCACTGGACCCAAAAAGGGGAGGAAGGATAGAAGCGGGGAGGGGGAAATCTTTCCAAATAGTTTGGAAACTTCTGTTTCATTTCTCTTGTGAGTTTCTCTGTGTCTTGTTTTACAAGCTGGGCATCAAAACAGGCTCCCTTCCCCCCTCGAATGTCCCCAGGCATTTATTCTGAGCATCTCCTCCCTTTCTCTCTCCTCCTCACCTTCTTCATCCCATGTGGCATTTGCCCCTCTTGATTTTTACAGCTTGGGTTCCAATTAAGCATTCCCACCCAGGGCTTTCAAAGATAAAAGCTAAATACCAGAAAAGTCTCCTTAGTTTACAGTTGGTCTGGGTTAGTTTTGGGAAGGTTTCTAATCCCTGGGAGAGATCAATGCAACAATCAGTAGTATTGTTTGCACAATGACTTTCTTGCCTTGGATTTGAATCTAGGGCAGATTTAGTGTAGATCTAAAGGTAAGCCTTCAAAAACCAGGTTGATAAAAGCATTGCCACAGCTGGTCATTGGACTTCATGCGCACCTGAGCCTTCAGATAACATGGTCACCTCTTAATTAAGATGCTGAATGCACTTTAAAAGTAGATTAAAATGGGTACTCACAAGAGCTGGCGTGTCTGTGGCGTAAAGTAAAGCTATTGAGTTGTTCAAACTTTTAGTACCCATCATATTCTAGTTTTGTGTGCACATAAATCCATTTGTTGTGAGCTTTCCACGTTCTGTGAGTTTGAATCTAATGAACTACATCAGTACTATAAAGCTGGAACCCTACATATCAGTTAAAATGTAACTAGTTTTGGTAACTGACACATTTTGCTGCCTTTTTCGTGCTTGGTAAATGCATACAGAAATGATGATCTTGACCTTCTGGACATGATTTTTTTTTAAATTTATTTTTGCAGTTAATTGGTTTAGCAGTTATATGTCTAGGGACTAACTTAAATTTGCAGCTACTAACTGGGGTAGCTAATCTGATACAATAGACTTGTAGAGCGAGTAGTTTTCATGTTGCTCATCTGCTTGTCACAAATAAAAGTAATAACTTCTATCTATTAGTCTACAGTGGTGGTATGTTGTAGTCTCACTGTAAAATTAATGAAAACACAGACTCCACATGTTATAACATGGAGCTGTGATGAAAGAAATTTTATTAGGATTTAATTAAGTTGGTATACCAAGTGGCCTAGGATCAGTGGTTACACTGTTTGATGGGGCAGCTTTATGATAAGGAAAGATTCATGGTGAAATCTAACCTGGCACTGTGGTTTGTGCTTGTGTGTGAGAGAATTCTTCATAATGAATGGGAGAAAAATCCAGTGTATGGTTCATTCATGCTAAAACACTTTTGAATGAATGTAAAACTATACATGATGGAGGAAAGACTCTACAAATGTTGGAAAAATATTAGCACAGTTTTAGATCTGAAAATCAGTAGACTCTGCAATTTAAGCAATTGTGTAATAAATTTAAAGAAAATCTTAGCACTTGCCTCAACCATTGGTCAGTTCTAGCTACCTGGAAATCCTGTATGACTGATGACAAAAACAAGCGAGTCTGTGTTTCCAGGTAGAGAATCATAATACAGCTGTATGTATTTATATATTTTGGGTGTGATTCAGAAACCCTTTTGAATAATGCTTACTCGTATAAGAAATTGAATTTAAGAATCAATTACTTGGTTAATCACTTGAGTGAGAATTACTCACCTGAGTAATGGTTTCATCTGATAATTCATTCACCTTATTTTCTAGCATATTTTACCACCAATATTCCAAAGCATGCTTTTGGAAAGGCTTATTTGGTAATACTCTTGTTCATAATTTATAGGGCTACAAATGGGGTTTGAAGCCACACACATTTTTAAAATAAAAAATAGACATTCATTTCAAGTATTCCAATATTTGTATTATTTGTGGATGGGGAAAAGAGGATACATTTTTAGAAAGCCATTTCTCATTTGTATTGTTTAAAATGAGCTCCATTTCATTGTCCTAGTCCTCCCCCCTCCCCAAGTTTCAGCAGAAAAACAAACAAACATGGAAATGCCATTTATGGAATTCTGAGTAAAAGTACCACTGTAGATATTGAGTTCATGCTCTCTAATTTGGACCCAAAAAGCCTATATATTAAAATTTGTAATTGTAAATAGTGCTGGACCAGAGAGGGTTAAGGGATTGACATAAAAGCCATATTTTTGGGGAACCCCCCTCCCCAAATGTAATCACTACCTTAAAACCTCAATCAGTTTTAATGATTCTGATTAGCACTGTAGTTAGTGGAGGTCTAAAGTTTTCTTGCAAATGTCCTTGAATTCCAAACTAATGTTTCACATTTCTTACCCATTATTATAACCACCTGGAATGCACAGTCTACGAGAATTGGATCAAAAGGCTTGACAATGAATGAAGTATTCTTAACTTTATGCTATACATGCTTGCATAAATAAACCGACACACCAGGGAAATGATGGGGGGAGATGGTAAAAGTTTCAAATCTCACATGTGGAGGTACACTGTGTTTAAAGTTTCCAGCAGAAAAGTAACTTGCGTTTTCACTGCTTGTCTGTTACTGATTGGTTTTTTTGTTTTGTTTTTTGTTTTCCCTCTTTGATGAAATTAGAAGCTTGGGAAGATCTGCCAGAAGCGAGTGGGAGAACAGCACGGCGTTTCTTCTTTAATTTAACTTCCGTCCCTAATGAGGAGTTTCTCACCTCCGCTGAACTTCAGATTTTTCGGGAGCAGGTGCAGGCAACCTTTGAGAACACTAGCAGCTACCATCACCGTATTAATATTTATGAAATTATAAAGCCAGCCACTTCTAAGGATCCTGCAACAAGACTTTTGGACACCAGGTTGGTGCGTCAGAATGCAAGTAAATGGGAAAGCTTTGATGTAACACCAGCTGTAATGAGGTGGATTGCACATAGACAGCCTAATCATGGGTTTATAGTAGAGGTGGTTCACTTGGACAATGAGAGCAGTGTTTCTAAGAGGCACGTTAGGATTAGCAGGTCTTTGCATCAGGATGAAGACAGCTGGTCTCAGCTGAGGCCATTGTTAGTAACTTTTGGCCATGACGGCAAGGGACACCCTCTCCATAAAAGAGAGAAACGCCAAGCAAAGCACAAACAGCGCAAACGCCACAAATCCAGTTGCAAAAGACATCCATTATATGTGGACTTCAATGATGTGGGGTGGAATGACTGGATTGTTGCCCCTCCAGGATATGGTGCCTTTTACTGCCATGGGGAATGCCCTTTTCCACTGGCGGACCACCTAAACACAACAAACCATGCCATTGTTCAGACTTTGGTCAATTCCGTGAATTCCAAAATCCCTAAAGCTTGCTGCGTTCCGACAGAACTGAGTGCTATCTCTATGCTCTACCTTGATGAGAACGAAAAAGTTGTATTAAAGAACTATCAAGATATGGTTGTAGAGGGTTGTGGGTGCCGCTAACACAGCAAAATATATTAGACAAATACAAAAAAAAGCTGACACTTTAATATTTCCCAATGAAGACTTTATTTATGTAATTAAATGGAAAAAAATACACCTATTTTGAAAATATATTTATGTCCACAAAAAAGTTGGGAAAACAAATATTTTAATCAGAGAATTATTCCTTTAAAAGATTTTTAAATGTATTTTAGTTGTACATTTTATATGGGTTTAATCCCAGCACATGAAGTATAATGGTCAGATTCTTATTTTGTATTTATTTACTATTATAACCACTTTTTAGAAGAATAGATAATTTGTATTTATATGTAATCAAAAGAAAAAAATATAGGGTTTGTACATAATTTTCCCAAATTGTAGCTGTTTTAATTGTGTGTATTTAAATTGAAAAGAATACATGGAAGGTTACTATGGCAAAGTGCATAGTACATTTGCTTTCTGCTGTGCTACTGTTAAGGTCACAAGTTCAAGTCCAGAAAAAAGTGGATAATCCACTCTGCTGACTTTCAAGATTATTATATTGTACAATTCTCAGGAATGCTGCAGGGTGGGCTGTCCAATCCATGAGAACTGGCATCCTCTTTAGGTGGAACATTTGGATAAGAACCAAACATTGCTGATCTAGTATAAATACTGTGATTCCCAACTAATTTGCAGAGTGAATACAAGCAGGGCCAATAGAAATCTTTAGGAAAAAAGGCCGAACTCCTCTTAAACCTACAGAAAAGTGAATGTTTGTCATTCTTCTCCTTTACTAGTCTTCTCTTTTAAATCCTTATCCTGGCCAAATATTAAATAATAAAATATGATTTCTTTATTTTTTGTGTGTGGCTATATATGCTAAAAAGGAGCAACACTTTTATTTCTACTGGCCCTTTTCTCTAAGAGTTGGGAATACAATTCTTTTTTCTTCTCTCAAATGAGAGCTTATTTGTGTGGAATGCTATAGAAAAATAATCTCCAAACTTTGCCCTAAAGTACAGCAAACTATTATCTCTAGACTCTATCTACTTTTACCTGTTGGTTTTGCTGACTTGCAAAGTAGCTTTGTCTCCCTCTCCTCACTCCCCCCAGGGTCTTGTTTTGAAAGCATTCCCCCACCAAATATTAAACCTCTTTTGGATAATAAATAGGGCTCTGGCATTTCATTCTGCAAAGTCCAATCTGCAAGAGTAAATGGTTGAATATCAAAGAAATTGTGTTTTCTGGGTTTCCTTCTTCAATTTTTTTTATATATTTTTAAAAGAGCAACATCATGATTTGCAGTTAGTAATCAAGGCATTAATCACAGCTCTTACTTACACCAAGAGTCTTGTAACTGTTCAGTAACAGTTTGCAAGTAATTTGTAGATGGGATGAGGACACAGAAGCTGGGTTCCTTTTTGCATTGGAAAAGCTGCCAAGTATGAGACTAAAAAGTACCTCAGGTTGGCTTCTTGGTGATGTACTGTAAATTGGACTGAATCCAAGTGCAGAATGAAATTAAATTTGCTTACAGGTGGTAAACTTGTTCCAACATTCAGAACTCTTAGTTCTAAAAAGCTGTAGAATTGGCCATAGAATAATGTTTCTGTGATTTCCTCCAGGAACTAAAAGTTGCTTTGTTTGGATTTGAAAATGTAAATACACCAACCAAAACCTTTGCCAGAAGGTGGTACTTCTCTATCCAGGAACCCCTTGGCTCTGAACTGCCAGTCATTAACTTGCTTAATGTTTGGGGAAGTTTTGAGCTACTAATAAAAAACAGTATACTACATTGAATGTACTAATTGGGCTTGTTGGTCAAAAGATTCCCAACTAGATTATACCTTTAAGACCTTTTAAAGTATAATTCTTCTATCTCTGCCCCCAAATAAATCTGTAAATGCAACTGTTATTAGAGGTAACAGGAAAGAAAAATTAGTCATTACTGATTGGATTCTGCCCTTTTTTCTTTTGTGAGCCTAAAATGTTTGTTAGGCTCATCTGTGAACTTGTGGCAGGATAAGTTTTTGTGGGTTTTTTTTTTTTTTAATTGACAGACACTCACTCACTTTACTCTAGCAATATCATTTAAAGAGATCGTCCATTCTATAGCTTTGTTTATTTTGGAACACCTAACACTTATTTGTAATGGTGATTCAAGATTGTTGCCTGTGTTTTTGCTTGAGGGCCGGCCCCCTTGGTTTCTAAAGTATTTTGTGAAGATATGATTAGGCCATTTTAACAATGGCTTATTTTAACTTTCAGCTCCTTACTCCCTTAAACATACGCCCAGGGTGCGTCTAGACTGGCAAGATTTTGCGCAAAAGTGGCCGCTTCTTGTGCAAATACTTTCACACTCCTGCTCGGGGGAAAGCCCTCTTGTGCAAGAATACTTGTGCAAGAGAGCCAGTGTAGACAGGGAAGAACTGTTTTACGCAAAAAAGCCTCGATGGCTAAAATGACGATCGGGGCTTTCTTGCGCAAAAGCACATCTAGATTGGCACAGATGCTTTTGCGCAAAATCTAGATGCGCTTTTGCGGAAATACTTTTAACGGAAAATTTTTTCCCGTTAAAAGTATTTCTGCAAAATCATGCCAGTCTAGACGCAGCCCCAGCGTTTTGGTCTGTACTCTGGTATGTTGAACAGGTTCGTGGCCATTGGATCTGAAGGCTGTCAGTCACAGGAGTATGTGACCCTTACCAGATTGTCTGGGTGTTCACTAGTGAATTGTTGCAATGCCTAGTCTTCAGGCACAGCACTCCTGGAGCCTTCTCCAACTCATGCTGCAGAAGCTGATTCTGAACTGCAGAGAAATTCAAGAGTCATGCCTTGGATTACACCACTTCTGTTAGCCTCATGGGTCGGGTCTGAAATCACTAGGAAAACTTCCATTGACTTCTACTAGGCTTTGAATTAGGCCCTGATTCAGACCCTAAATTCTTACATCTCCAGATTAAACGTCATGGCTCCTAACTCATTGTATACAACACTAATGTAAGAGGCTTGTGACTGTTTGTACATCTCCAGATTAAACGTAATGGCTCCTAACTCATTGTGTATATAACACTAATGTAAGAGGCTTGTGACTGTTTTACTTCTGCTCTAAGGCATCACAACACGTTGATGCTATTTTTTTTGTTTGTTTTTAATTGGATACAGCACTTGTCCATGCATGAGCAGTAGCTGGCTCGGGGCATGACACTGCATTCCTTATAAATGCAAAACTCGCATTGAAGCCAATGGAAGATTTGCTTGACTAAGGACGTCCCCCTTTGTAAAATACACAGTGATATCCATGTGAAGCTGTAAGCCCGTTATGGCCCAGATCCTGCGAGAACTGCAGCTGCGTAACTTTATGCACATGAGTTGTTCTGTTGATTTCAAAGAGGCTGCTTGTGTGAGTCAAGTTAGGTGTGTCTGAGGAACTGGCTTTACAATATTTATATTTTTGAAAAGCGTGTAACCCCGTCAACCATCTCTCTAGGCTGAAAGTGCCATCAATCTGCATTGACAAGGATGATTTGGTCCCACCCACTGCTAAACTCTGGAAAATAGAGATCCAGTAGAGTTCCCACTGACAACTGCTAAATCAGTTTTTCTCCGTACTAAAATTATCACAATCCTTAGTGTGTTCTGTCTTATTTTAGTACGGAGGAAAACTATCACAATCCTTAGTGTGTTCTGTCTTTATAAGAAGATTCAGAAGTAGTCTTATTTTTTTTCTTAAGAAAAATCCAGACGATAGCAAAGCCATACCATTGCCCTTTCTGATTAGCCAGTGTTGGATGCAATTGTAAATGTTAATGAGGAAGCATATTGCTTGTTAACACTCCTCTAATCTAGGCAGACAGGTGTTTGCAGTATTTGTACATTTCAAATAAGCATCTCTCCATCTATGGAGTTATCATCATCTCTGTCTAGCATCCTGATCCTCTCATGTGGCACTTTAATCCACTGGCTCTCCACCTATCCAGGCTCCTGGACCCCTTTCAGGTGTTTGCTTTGTCTTGCATACCTCAATGTTTCACCTCACTTAAAACTTACTTTGCTTACAAAATCAAACCTCATAATACAAAAAGGTGTCTCTGCACACTAGTAATGGCTCTCTCACTTTTTATCTTACAATTACAAAATTAAATATAAATATTCTACTTACGTATCTGTGTACACCACAGAGCAGTATAAACAAATCATTATCTGAATGAAATTTTAGTTTGTACTGACTTTGCTAGTGCTTTTTATGTAGCCTGTTAAGGGAAAAACTAGGCAAATATCTAGATAAGTTCATATACCGCCCTCTGGAAGACCTCTGCCTACTCCCCAGGGATACACATATTCTTGGTTGAGTACCGCTGCCCTAGTGAACCTAAACATTTTGTATAAAATTCAGTCTGGTTCTGAGGTCAGCAACAGGTAAAAACATAATTTGGCAGGATGATCCTCAGTTGATGTAAATGGCTGTATACAGTGAGATCTTCACTGTAATGTTAAGCTTATGCCTACACAAAGGATCCTCAGTTGATATAAATGGCTGTTTACAGTGAGGTCTTCACTGTAATGTTAAGCTTATGCCTACACAAAGTACTGTTTGTTTTCACTCCTCTTAAGCTTCTAGTGGACTTTCACTATTATGCAATCCATTTTTATGAGGCCTGGATATGAAAGCTACTTGCTTATTGTGTTCATGACCATGAAGTTGGACTTCATCTGGACTGCATTTACACTAGACCGGCTTTGCTACATCACTAGGGGTGAATAATTATTGAACTATTTTACTGTACAACTATTCCCAAATTGTTGATTTTTATTTGATTTCAGGAGGCAGCTAATTGCCATATGGGCAGCTTGATGTATAATGAAGATCAGGAAACAAAATTTATGAAAAGCATTTGTATAGTAACTGCAGAGTTTCAAGAACTGTTTTATACTTCCTGACAGTGCAGGTCTGGCTTAATGGTTTGTTTTTATTGCTTAAGAGTGTAAACCTTTCTTCAGCTGATGTGTGGAAATTATATTCTCATCCTGCATTACGCATTTCTCATTGCTTATTACTCATTCACTGCTTTCCTTTCTGCCATCTGTACTCAGAGCTTTACTGTTTCAACGACATGCAAAATACGCCTGTCCTTTGTGCACAATAAGATACTTTTCCTTAGCACCCACCCACCTCTCAAAGAAAAGAAAAAAGCTTACTCTGTGTATATTTTTTCTCTGTTTTGGGTGGAGTCTGTCTTAGATTTTGGTTGCTAGATGGTTTCTGTAGCAACAAGCAGGGAGAAGCTCAAGTCTGAAAAGACATTTGTAAAAGATGCCATATCTTGCTTGAAGTATTATTTTATCTCATGATGTATATGGAATATGCCTTGTTTAAATATAAAGGCTACCTTTTGGTAGGACAGACTGCTGCTATAAGACCTTGATTTGTTGTGGTCTCCCACATAGAAGTGCATGAGAACCACAAGTCTTGTTCTCCATGGACTGAAGCTGCTTGAAATACCAATAAAAGCCAAAGGGTTTTACAGATGTATTTTTTTCAAAGAAGTAATAAATGGTCCTTACAGGCACAAATCACTTTGTTTGTTTTGTAGTTACACAGGGGGCAAAAAGGGACAAAATGCCGAAGGGTACAAGCCATTTGGAGTTCGTGTGTTGGAATTTTGGCTGTTTTTGACAAACAAAACCAGGTGTGATTTTTTTTTTTTAAAGACATACCCTGGGTTTTGATTACTGTATTTTAAGAACCTGATTTTAGTTGACTGTCTTTTTTTTTTTTTTTTTTTAAAAGCACTCGTCTGTTTCCCTAAAATTCTAGAGGTTTAATAGAACTTAATTGTCACACATCTGTCATGTTTTCACTTAGGATGGGTCTACACAGCTAAACTTGAAATAAGCTATACAACATGAGCTATGCTAATTGTGTATCTTATTTCAAATTTGGGCATGGCTACATAGCACTTATTTTGAAACAGAGCACTCTTCCTCCATCTTCCCTTTGTAAAATCTTTGTAAAATGAGTTACAGGAGTTAGGGTTGCCAGGTGTCCAGTTTTGAACTGGACAGTCCAGTATTCTTTCTGTTCGGGGAAACAAATTGAGAAAGTAGAAGTATCTGGTATTTTCTAAATAAGATGTAATGTAGATTGTGATATAATGTCAAGTGTCTGGTATTTTTGTTAAAACCATCTGGCAACCCTAACAGGAGTTGGAGTAAGAAGTCCTTGAGCTGGATATTATTTCGACAATGTCAAAACAACTACTTGTGTGTAGATGTGCACTTTATTTTGAAATAACACTGCTGTGTAGACTTACCCTTAGGCTACATCTACACTGGCCACAATTTCCGGAAAAGCCATGCAAATCAGGTAAGTCAGGATAGGGAAATCCGCGGGGGATTTAAATATCCCCCGCGGATTTAAATAAACATGTCCGCCGCTTTTTTTCCGGCTTGGGGAAAAGCTGGAAAAAAAGCGTCTAGAAAGCCCTTTTCCGGAGGATCTCTTATTCCTACTTCGAAGTAGGAATAAGAGATCCTCCGGAAAAGGGCTTTATTCCGGAGGATCGCGCCAGTCTAGACGCTTTTTTCCCCGGCTTTTCCCCAAGCCGGAAAAAAAGCGGCGGACATGTTTATTTAAATCCCCCGCGGATTTCCCTATCCTGACTTACCTGATTTGCATGGCTTTTCCGGAAATTGTGGCCAGTGTAGACGTAGCCTTAGTGTCTCAAGAGCATCTGGGGACTAAGTGTGATGGGAGAAATATTGTAGATTGGATCCTTCCCTCCCTTGTAGCGTTAACCCTTTGTTACTTGTATCTCTACTTTACCTGCAGCAACCACTGGTGGGTTTTGTCTATGCTGAAATCTAGTCAAACAGGTAGTGCAGTCTGTGTCTATTCCACACTGGTCAGCTGGATCCTAGAGCAGTAAGTAAACAGGTTGGTCCTGGTTCTGCAGCCAACTCGCTGCTCACTTTAGTAGGAATGTTGACTAATTAAGAATTCTGAGCAGGCCTATTACAAAACCTGTCTCCTTTCACGTATCATGTGCAACGCCAAGAGCCATCTTTGTAACTTGCTAGGAGTCTGAGGACCAAAGCTATTTTGCATATATATTTACATATTGCTCTGTATGTACCCAGCTGTGATAGGTGTCTGGACTTGTCTTGCCCTGGATGAACAGAGGTTAGAGAACTCCCGACAATTTATAGAAACAGAAAACCTGCAGTGCATCAATTTAGTCCTCAAACTGCATAGAGGGGAAGCCAGGGGCTCCACAGGCCCCATATTGAGTAGTCCTCCAATACAAGACATTAGCAGTTGGTGTAGAAACTGTATTTGATGTAGTGCCAATGTACTGGGTCAGGT